CTCCAGAATAAGTTCTTTTTATAATGCTCTTAACTTGGAAAAAAATTGATTTGAACAAACAAATCGTGGCTTGGTTTGTATATAGCAAAGCATTCGAGGTATATCTGCCTAAGCGGAGGTATGTCTTCGTGGAGGACTTCCAAGGCAAACTGTCTCGTATACAAGTTATACATGGGGGTAAAATCACGAAGTCGCCCATGCTGCCAGCCCGTCCGCGGGATTCAGGATTCGAACCTCAGATCGAACTACCAGAATTCAGTAATTTTACCGATCTGCCGTTGGTAGGAGCAATCAAATCATGACCTTAATATTAAAAATAAATGTATTACATCCAGTTTAGAAACACTCAAAGAGTTTGTTACATCAACTAGTCATATTACATATTTTTGTGAAATGAGCCCTTTATTTCCGTTTATTCATGAAACTATGAAGTATGATCATCATTAAAATGAGTAGTTTAAGCTTCTTTAACAAACGATCTCGAAACGAAAAACATTTTACAGCTTGCCGTAAAATTTTTGCAGCAGCAGAACTGAATTTTGAAAATTTGAATTATTTTGAAACGTAATGCCGAATCCAAAACCTATGTGGTGTATTATTTTGAAAGCAATTTAGTCAGTAGCTGAAAACATTTTGTAGCATGTGTATAAATTATCAATATAACTCTTAAAAGCTAAGATAATGAAAAAAGATCCTTGAGGAATACAATTGATCACGTGTTATAAGACTTCTGCATCGAGTTGTATCGTATTATCCGTCTCCAAATGATAAAGTTCAGATATTATAATTTAATGCATAAAAATCTAAGTATAACTCTCAAAACTCATTTAAAATTTCAGTTTACTTATGGTTTTAAAATAAATGTTATTTTGAGTTTTTGAGATTAACGTTTAGGTGGTTATTATCATTATTATGTTATTATAATCCGTTATTATCATCGTTATTATCATCGAAGGGGACTAGGTACGAAGAAAAAATATTATTTCAAAATACCGATTAACAAATGGAACAATGCATAATACGTACAATTTTAAAATTCTGAAAGGTAACCTTAGTAATCAAAATAAATATTTAACAAATAAAATTTTAAGTTGTTGAATATCGTAATATATAAACTATTGATATAAATAATCGCATTGATATAAATAAATAAATTATCTATTTAAATCATCGTTCTCCAAAAGAACATAGAAGTCTGCGAAACAGATAATTTCTCACTCTGATTATCATTAATCACATTGAAACTGTAAAATATGTCAATTGGAAATGTTGAGAACCATATTTTATGTTTCGTATGTATGGAAACAAGTAGAGGGGAGAACAACTATTTGCAGTTATTTCTTGCCTCTTTTGAAAATACAAGGTGATCCACGAAAACGTAGCCCGCTTATCATGCGAAAAAACAATAATACGTAAAATTTATTATGCGATGAAATAGAACAGTGTTTCAACTTTATCTTGCCTTTCTCTTCACTCATAACGGGAATTGTACGCACACCGTATCAGGAAGATAGTGTTAGAATTGTGATATTATCTGTGAAGGCGGGTTCTTTTTTGTGAAAAACGGTTAGCCTTTCTTCGCGTAAAATCGACGCAACCTCAGGCTTGTACATCCGAGTGAAAATCCAATATTCTAAAGATGCGAGTTTTCGGATGTAAAATGATATTCCTTTTAATATTTCTAAATGCTATATAACAAATCATGAAGTAAAATATTAGATATTTAGCCTAATCCCATTGTCTATTGATGTCATCCAATTACGTTTGGATAGTTTTTAATGCTAGATAACCCCCCCCCAATTTATTGAATATGTTATTACTTCAAATGTTAGAAATAATATAGGTTTAACCTAATCTCTCTTATCCACTAATGACATACCGCTATGCTTTAATATTTGAAAATGCTAGACTGCAGTCTATTAAATACGTTATTTCTTAAAATGTTTTTCTTAAATGTTAGCCTCGTCCCCCACTTCGACACTGATGGCATGCATTGCCTTTTAATACTTTTAAATGCTAAATAAAAATGTATTGAATAAAATATTAAGGATTTAATCTAATCCCACTTGTCTGTTGCTGGAATGCCGTTGTGTTTTAACATTTTAAAATTCTAAGTAACAATTTATTTAATGAAATGGTATGGATTTAGTCTAGTCTCACTCATTTTCTAGTGTTTTTAAATACTGACAACAATTTATTGAATGTGTTATTACTTTCAAATGTTAGGGATGTAACCTACTCCTACTTGTCCACTGATAGCAGGCCGCTGTGTTTTAACATTTTAAAATTCTAGATAACGATTTATTGGATATGTCGCCGAGACGGGAAAATGTTTAGTGACTCTGACTGCTGTAACTAAGGGCCCGAGTTAAGAGTCTCGGAGACTGCATGGATGTAATTTATCCCTTCATAGGACACAACGTTGTCTCACTTATTAGATGCCTCCATAATAAAGAGACCACCGCTTCCGGCCTTAGTAGTGGCTAACGCCTATAATTGCTAGACCCCGCCATTGGGTGAAAAAATATTGGATATATTATTACTTTACACGTTCGGGATTGAGCTAGTTCGTGATACTGTGTTCTGATATTTTTAAATGCCAAATAACAATTTGTTTAATAAAATGTTATGGATTTAGCCTAGTCCCACTTGTCTACTGATGGCATGCTTAAATTCTAGGTGACAGTTTATTGAATATGCTATTACTTAAAATGTTAGAGATTTCGTCTAATTCCACTGATGGCATGCCACTTTATTTAGACTGTGATCTGAAGCGAAAGATCTTCAAAAAGTATACAAAAGAGCGTAGTATTGTGTTGAAGTCTGTGAGTGCAAAACTTCTTTTGATAATATTTCATTCTCAGCTGTAACAATTTGAAATTTAATTTTCTTCCTGGATGATTGTTTCAATAATTCCCTAAATTTAGTTTTATTATAAAGTAGTATTAGTTCTTATTGATGTGTGTATAATGTGCCTTTCGCTTAAAATTTATCTTTACATTTAAAGATATATTTATCTTTATTAAAATTTATCTTTATTTTGAAAACAAAATATTGTGTTGTTATTATTTATATTACAAACGTTTAATTAAAACGCTTAATCAATTAAATTCTGAAACAAAGCTTTTTAAAAGCAAAATTTATGGAAAGTAAATGAAATTAATTAATTATTGTTTCTATAATTATTAAAAGCGGCCGAGCGGTAGAGTCGCTGAACACTGGTAGTTCGGTCCGAGGTTCGAATCCCGTGAACGGGTTGGCTGCATGGGTGTTTTCGTGGTTTTCCCCATGTGTAACGTGTATACGAGCCAGTTTCCCTTAGAAAGTCCTCCACGAAGGCATCCCTCCCCTTAGGCAGATAGCCCTAGTGTGCTTTGCCATAATAAAATACAACAGCAACTATAATTATTAAAAACCAGTAGACAGTTTATAAATCAAGAAGCAAGTTAGAAATATTCTAATTAGTAAAAAAAGTCAATTTGATGAACAGCAATTATTATTTTTTCAAACATTTATGTATTCCTCTCCCGATTTTTCGTTTCTTGTTACATTTTGCTGCTAGGAAACATATACATCAAATGGTTTGGCTAACTGACAGTTTTTCAGAAATGTAGCCATTCGATGTAGCAAAAGGTCATCAATTTATCGTTCATATAAAAACAATGCTGAAAGATTGAGAAACAATATATGTTTTTCTTTATAATTTATATTGTTACAGATTGTGTATATATGGAAATAATTTTAGTGAAATTGCAGTATTTTTTGTATAATTTAACATGAAATGTTTGAAATAGATGATGATCTGCCGGAAAAATAACATTACAGGGTCAAGTTTATTTAACAATGAAGTAAACGGCTATTTTGTTAAATTGGCGAGATATTCCCAAGCTAGCGACGGTTTTTGCGTCTCTAGCTTGGTATGGATTTTTGCGATTAATTTTTATTGCAAAATTTGGCGACCATTTGGGAAAATTTTGTTCCGGTTCCTGTATAACTGTAACGGGTATTCTGATTGAATAAATGTAATTGACTCCTATATGTAACTGTAATCGTATCCGGCCTTCATATACCTTCCAGAAATTTTCAGAAGTGGACATTTGGGTCTGGTCCGTGTATGACTGTAATTGGTACGGTGATCAAATAAATATAATAGATCACTGTATGTGACTGTAACCGCATTTGGCCATCATATGCCATACAGTAATTTGGAAAATTGGAAGGTAATATAGATTTCTTGGCTGCCGAGGAAAACCTCTGTAAGACCGGAGAAAGCATTAGTTTCTCAGTTGCTTAGTTTAGCGTGAGTTTGGATATTGAGAGATCTCCGTTGTAGCTCTGCCTTTTTAAATGCGATTTGCATTGTTCTGTGTCTAACGGATTTGGAATACTCAGAAGAGCTGTACGAGTATTTTTATGCGGAGTTCCAGAACTGTAAAGTGTTTCTTTTGGTAAAATAAATTTTATCAAGCTATAATCGGTTCTGGTGTGCATTCAATCCATTACGAACCCGTATGCGCGCAACAGCTTCATTTTATTTTTTAATCATATCTCTAATTGATGCAATTTGCAATACAACTACTTCATGGGATTTGTTATACATTTAGTTTGTAATTTTCATCAACATTTTATGGTATATAACATATACTTTCTAATCTAAAATTTTATAACTTTTACAAGCATATTTAATGTATAATTTTATAAGAATATTTAATTTATAATTTTATAAGCACCCACTGTAATTAAGAAAAAATGTTGCTAACTCCATATATTGATGTATCTTGTATAGAATAATGATTCGAGACTAACTAAAATTGATTTGGCTTCATCCATTTATTTTTCAGTTTCAAACCATGCAGGAGATTTCGTGCAAAATAAAACTAATATTAGTATATATTGATTTTTTAAAATTTGAGTTTGATATGTTTTTTGTTAAAGTTCTGTGTTTCAAGTTCCTTGTGCAATGCATGATATTTTAAACAATGAAACTAATATACAATGAGTCATTATTAAAAAAACACTTTTATTGAAAAAATCTATATACATAGAAAAACCGCAGCTGATTTTAAAAGTGAAAATATCCAGTGCAGAGGTAGATAATAGCTTCGGAATTTGTGTAAATTATGTGCAAAAAATATTTATTTGAGTTTTATGAACATCTTTTTCTAATACTATTATGTCACGTAAAATTACTTCAGCTAGTTTTAAATTCTTTGAGGATTTAAATGAGTTTAAGATTTCTCCCTTTCTTTAAAAAACCGTAAAACCACAGATTTACATCTACATTTCATCCCATCACCTATTCATAACTCCATTCAATAGAAAATGGGGGAAGTGTTTTACATCGCACCTGTCGATTGAAAAAAATAGTTTATTCAAATTTATTAGAGATATTCTCATCAAAAAAACTGATGAGAGGTAACACAGAGTTGTAACACTTGTGGGAACATATATACATATTAGAGGAAATGATCGTGATAAATAACTTCATTCGATGAAGATTACTTATAAAAAAAAGGAGACAAAACTCTTTTAGGATGATTTAAAACGTTGTGATGAAATAAATATTAAAAACGTTAAGTAAAAATGTAAGGTATTCAATATTACAGATTTGTAATTTGGGTCCATATTCGAATATTTTTTAAATACTACAGCAAAACTGCATTTATTTGGCAATAACAAGCAATAGACGTTTTAAATAACCTACTTCTCTAAAAGTTTCGGAACAGATTTTTCGAAAAATCAATGGACATATATAACATTCAAGGAAAACATCCATTTATGACAACGGATTTACACAGAAAATAATATTTTACCTTTCCCAAAAGATTTTTTCTTTTAAAATTTGTGTTTGGCACTGGCAGCAGTTTGCATACCAATAAAAGATTAAATTTTGAAGATTCCTTCACAGTCTGAAAAAATGTCTGATGAGACATTTGAATTCAAAAATTTCTTATGATTTTTTTTTGCTTATTTTCCGTTCTGTGCTCTGTATTGTCCTGAAGGACGAGCATTTGGACGACGAGGTGGGGGAGCATCAACACCTTGGACTTGGTTTCCAACTATTTTAGAATCGTCTTCATCATCAGGAGCTGCGGTAGTTGGTGGTGGCTCGCTAAGGAAGAAAAATATCACGTTAACTAACAGAAGATAACGTTACAACAGCTTTATTCCATAAATGTGAATGTTTCAGTAATATGATATTTAATTAAATTGTGATCTTTTTATTCAAAATTTTTGTCCGTTCTACTAAATCTTACAACAAGAGTTTTTTTATCATTTGAAAACATGTTTTATTATTTGAAATGGATTAAGAATTCGCATTCTCAAGATATCACATTTTGCTAAATTAGGAAGTTGCAATTCGAAGCTTCCTATTTTTAGAAAGCAAAAGAATAGGATATTTCACTTATCTTCCAAGAGCTGGTCGCTGTTCTTTTAGGATAGAAAATTCGGGAAGTTAAATTTTTTTTATTTCTAAACTAGTTCTGCTATTATTAAGTACATTATCACATTTTTACGAATGAAAATAAGGCTTGGCGACACAGAGATTTAATTTATAATTGTTATTTGTTTATATGCTACTTCATAATTAGTAATTTGCCGAAAAAACGAATAACTTGTGTGGAATTCATATACAGTAAATGATATTCATTTACTTAAGTTTCTCTCTAAAAATGAGTACGCGTAAAGTAGCTTTTCGTCAAATCATAATAAAGGATATGTCCCCCCCCCTCGCCAATAGCGGGCCCTCAGCCAATTTCGTCTTGGCCAGAATAATTATTCTCTCTTTAACTCTGCTATGTATGGAAGATATCGATTTCACTCTCAGTCCACCATGTATTCCAAACTCTTAATTTCCTCCGTAATCTAAGTTAGTAAGAGTTCTGTCTTGATTAAAAGTTTTACGATTATTTAATTCAAATATATTGAGGTAATTAGTGGTCGTGGATTTTAATTAGCTTTTTGTGCACCAAAGATCTGAGAAAGGTAATTTCATTCGCTTGGTTTCCCTTAAGGATGCTTAGTGTCTCAATTACTTGAGGTCATTCCAATTAAGCGCTCAGGGATAGTAATTATCATTTCTTTTCTCCGCAAGGACTAAAGGTAAACAGCATTGAAAAAACTGGGTCATTTACTGCTGAATTTATAACCCATTAATGACAGAAAAGTTAGAGTGTTTTGCGTTTAAAATGGTGCTGGCATATCTCAAGGATGCATCAAGGATAATTAAATCAAAAGAATGCAGGCGATTTACAAAATAAATTACTTAAGTCAAAACAAGAACTAAAACTGATTTACATTTTTTTATTTTATAACAAATAAAGAAAAATATGTATATGTTAGATAATTTTCTTCCCTCCCCCGTGCCCCAGTATATTCAACAAAAACACGTGTCAAACCTTGACAGAAAAATTATGCCAAATAAGGATAACTACAAATGAGGTTTGGAAAACTGATTCAATATTCATAGGCAAACCTTTGACTGTATTTCTAGCAAAACAAACAATATATGTTGATTTTACATTCCTTTTTGAACATCACAGAAAAACTTTTTATACAAAGTACCCCAAAAATTTTAATAACTTGGCGGAAAACAAAAGACAAATGAAAGAAAGGGCGCGAAACATGTTCAAAATAGTAAAACATTAATAGAATATTTCAAGGTGTATAATGGTTAGATGTATAATGATTAGGATTAAAATTCAAGGCGTGTAATCACTACATATGCCTGGGAAAAAAAGGTTTTAAATAAGTTTTGATAAATAATCACTGTGTATTTGATAGACTAAAACTAGAGGTATTAATAAACATTGTATATTTGCTAAGCTAAAATTAAGGAATTGGAGGGCAAGAAAAAAATGATTTAGTTAATTTATAAAGCTTTAAATAATCCACAACAATTCTTACATCGTATTTTATAAGACTGCCTTGTTTATATCTATTAAGCTAATTATTCTTTAAAAAAACAAAACAAACAAAAGAAAGAAAGAAAGAAAGAAAAGCATGCCTGAAATAAACTCATCTTTTAACATAAGCTTTAATGTCAAGCTCTTAGCACAAGCTGTTACCATCAAGCTTTTAAGCTAAAGATTTTATCCCAAACTTTTTTTTTAACATCAAGGTTTTAAAAGCTTTTAGCTTCAGAAAAGAAGGAATCCTCTTTAGCCCTTCTCATTATAAAGGAACCTTAAAAACCAATTAAAATCATTTTCAAAACCTAAAATTTCTTCGAATTATTTTTATTGATTTAGGCTAATCGTTTACGTTGATGGGTCTTGCTATAGAGGTCATCCCTTGTAGTACTTAGTTTTGCGTTTCATTTGTGTTTTGCAGCTCTCCATCTCATCCATTCCAGCATCTTCTATTTTGAATCTCAAATGTGACGCTTAATTATGGGGTACATCATTACCTTTTACCCTGCATTATATATTATATGATCAAGCATTGAGCTGTGGTATATTTTATTTTACAAGAAAAAATATCTTTTTGCATTTTCGGCCTATTTCTGCGTTTTCGGCGCATTTTCAGCCATTTTTAATAAGCAATCATGCATTAGATCACAAGCTTCCGTGTTTTTAGAATTTCACTATTTCTCCATTCAGCCACACTTTACTATTTCATTATCCGATTAACTTTTATTCTCTCGCCTTCTCTATCTGTTTACTTATTTTGTACTTGTAACATATAAATCACATTATTTGAAATCTTGATCCAGTGCATACTCTGCATTCCGTAGACTTCTTATGTTTTACAGTTATTAATACTAAGTGCGTACTATTTACGATTTAAACATTAGTTATATAGATAATGCTTCGTATAATTATTATCGTTAATAGCACGATGTTCTACTATTTTCGATATTAGATATGTTATTAACAGTTTCTGCCAAGAAAAGTAAGTGCATTTTAAATCCAAGCTGCTTTTTATAACTACTCATAATACACGTGGAACTTTCAGGTCTGTTTTTGTAGCTGAAAATGAAATGAAAAATCATGAAATCCATGAATCCATAAAAAAAGCAATGACATGAGAGATCGAAAGGAAGCAAACTTAGCATCAATTAACATCAATTAAGGCAATTTGTCTTTACAAAATCTCGAAATTAAAAAAAATTGCTGAGGAAGAAGTAATATGGAATTTTTTCATAATCTTCAGTTTGAACCATAAAAGCATATTTACTATCTAATGTGCAGCTAACATTAATTATTCTTAACAAATATTATTACATTTTTACTTTTCTTGGAGTTGATGTTTTGCATTTCACAATATTATTTAAAGTACATAATATATATATATATATATATAGAGAGAGAGAGAGAGAGCATTACTTCTTTAGAATATCAAGTAGCGTTTGTTTATAGTCTTACCATCCAGGAACGTTTTGTGAAAGTTCGCATCGCAAGGCAGTTTGGCTGAAGGCCAGGCCAGCTGGACACCTCTGAAGTCTTGGGTAGCCTCCGACGCACAGCCAAAATCGGCCGCATGATTTGTCAATGGGAATGTGACCGTTAGGTTGATCCTTGCAGATAGCTGCATTATAAACGTAAATCAGGATAAGCATAAAATGGGTATCAAAAGCATATTCATAACTACATTAAAAAAATCTTTTCACAATAAATTAACAACTTAGCAAAAATTAATCCAAGGAGAAATATTTTAACACATTATCATTTTGTGAATGAAAACATTTAACCAATGGATAGGTTATAAAGGGAAACCAAAACTATGGTACATAATATTATGAAGATTAACTTACATTTGTTAAGCGAGCAGATACAGTGGAATAGCAGAACATGAGAAAGTTGTCAGCGGAGCTTAATGTTAAATCAAATGCCCTAACAAAGCGCAAGGTGTGTTTTTATATCTGTTATTTTTAGCAAAATTTTTCAAGCACACTTTTTTATTTATATATTATTTAAGTTTGATTTACGAAAGAGTATTCTCTAAATAATTTCATAGTATAGTGACGTGATTTAAAAAAGGCTTTTGTGTAATAGGGGATAGTCCACATTATTATAAAACATGAAAAGAATTCTTTCTTCAATAATGTGATATAAACACCAGTTAATCTTCCTTTACATTAAAAAATTTCAATTATATCCAAGTTTTTATCTGCACCTCAAAGCGAAATGCTGAAGTGTCAGTTACACCCAGGCGGTTTTAGGAAATATCCAACTTATCGAAAAGAAACAAAAAATGTTAAATAACCATGTTTACGAGTCTTAGAGTTTTGATTATAGTTTACTTTAGTATGAAGGCTAATTTTTAACTGTATTTAACAAGAAATTAGTCTTAAGAAGGCAGAAGTTACTTCTACGTAAATTTAACTTAACAACTTTAAGTTTTTTGGGGGGGAAAGGAGTGGTAAAATAGTTCTTTGGAAAATATGTTTTATTAAATTTTATAAAAAATTATTTTAAAAATCATTTTTACAATTGAAACGCAATTAAATTAAGAAAATGAGAGTTCTTGGACTTTTCCTCCGAATATTCTGCATTGAAAAATATGATTTTTATTGAAAAGAAAGAAATTTTGAAATATTATGAAAGATTGTTTAAAAAAATTCAGTTTTAGAGTTGAAAGTTAATTAAACCAAGAAATGCTTACGGTGCTTCTGGCAATCGGGAACATTGTCGGGCCAGTCACATGAGTGAATGATGTCGTTGTACAAGAGAGAGAAAGGACATTGTTGAATTGTGGCTGTTCCGTTCCAACACTGCCAGTAACGAGTACAGCTTGTCTGATGTGCATATACTCCGTACAACCAAGGACAGTTATCTGTGCCGATGGGTGCTTCTGTAAAGTTCAAGAAGTTATAAAAAAACTTAAACACAAACTGACAAACAAAAATCGATAAAATGTTAGCTATTACGCAGCACAAAAATCAAAATTCATGTATGAACAATCAACTGATTTCCTGATTTTTGTCAGGAACATCAGAACTATCTGCTAAGTGATTTTTGTTTTAATCTGGGAAGACTTAATTAACCGCAGATGATGTTTCCGAATTCAAAAGTTCAGTAAAATACCTCTATGAAAATCCAAACACATAAATTTTTCATATATGAAATTAATTGCCTAAGATTTAATCTAAAAGGAAATCCAGTTTATCTTTAAACATATGCTAGTATACTCATGTCAACTGATACTTAGTTTAAACTCTTATAAATATTAATAAAATAAACACAATGTTAAAAATATTCGGGTAAAAATTTACATTGTAAATGCTTAATAATCAAGGGAAAAAGGGACACAGGGGAAAAAATATGTATTTCTTTTATTCTTCGTATTATATTGCTATTTTTTCCTTTTTCATTTAGTTCCTTTAACTTTTTTTAATCGTTTTTAGTTCTATGCCTATTATTTCATTTTGTCGTTCAGTCAAAATTCTCGGCTGCCTTCTGTCAGAATCTTCAATCAATTTTTTTAGTTTAGATTCAATCAATTTTTTTAGTTTAGAAATATGGCTACTGCTACAGGAGAGTATTTTATCTTCACTTATTTACTAGTCATTTATTTACTGCAGTAGAGTTTTTATTTTTAAGCGCAAACATTTTTGTAGCGTGAATTTGACATTTTCTTACTAGAAAATTATGTCCCTTTCTCAAAGAAGATTATGTACGCCATTGCTTCAAAGCTCATTCGTTTGGGGTGAGGAGAGCAGTAAATTGAAATATGAATGAAACTGTTCAAAAATATTTTATGGTAATTGAATTCAATATTAAAATTACATATCATATATTTTAAATAGCAAAGAATGATATTATTATCGATTACGTGCTTAGAAATGAAGTTTTGTAAAATTCAGAAAAAGATCCATCCAGTGATGCAGATGAAATTGAATTACCGAAAACGGATATGCCGTAAAGGATAAATTTAATAGCATTATTAGAGAAGTTATTCTGAAGTTAAATTTGGAAGAGATCCTTTTAATTTTTCTCATTAATAATTTTAATTATGAGCCAGTGTAAAAAGCTAATAATTGATGCTATTTTAAAATAACAAAGAAGGGAAACTTTTCATAGAAATTTCAATAACTTCTGGTGTTAACTGAAATAGTACTGTTTAATCAAACGTGATCATCGTTCAAACAATATTCCGCAGTTGGTAGTTATTCTTATTGTAATTATACTTCTCAAATGCAAAATAATAAAATGTACTTGTGTTCACAAAAGTCCTAATACGGCCTTTATTTTCACAACCGCTGGTCGTAGACATATACTTCCAATTAAAGGAAAAAAGTGTTTTAAACGACCACGCTTTTCTCAGTCTGAGTAAGACTAAATCAAAGACGGAGTGCAAACCTTAAATGACTGAGATTGAGGTTAGAGTAAATCAAAGGTTGATTTACACTTATCTCAATTTCCAGAGAAATAAGGCACAGTTTGTTTGATCAATATCGAATCTTAGGCATATGTTTTTTACAAAATTTTCACAAAAAGTGTTACTTACGTCCCATAACTCGGCCCTCATTGTCTGGACATCCCACCCTGTGTGGGTAATCACAATTCTGCATTAAACCTCTGCCTTTTCCAGAGAAAGCTAAGCCATTTGGGCAAGCCTTTTCTTTAGGAATTCCATCTTCGCACTCGTAGTAATAATCACAGTACTGATCGTGCATGAAGAGTCCATTTTCTTTTTTGCATTGAATGGTACTTCTCTGGGAATTGACTAAAAATAAACAAAAATAACAACATAAGAAATAAAATTATTTCTAAAATTAGATTAAAAACTATAAATTTTAGCTTTTATAATTATACAGGTATATGAATAAGAAATGTAATATGCTTTCAAATAATTTAAAAATTTCTGTTTACTCTTACGCAAGGTTTTATAAATTTGGCAGATAGCTTTTTTTGGCTACTCATTCCCCTCTATTTTAATTCATTCAGTCTAGAAATGTGCTAATGAGAAAATAGTAATGCAATTAGTAAAGAAGAGAAATTTATTACAAAAATTAATTTGATTGATTTAATCAAAGTATTCCTTAAAGCGCGTATACTTTCTGTTGCAATTCATATACGCTTTTCTTATAAACTGTTGTTTAGATTGCTTAATAAGTAACTACAATACAGTTTTTAAAGATTTCTAGATTTCGTTAGATACACCAATTAGACTTTTATACACAATTCGTAAAACACCGATCTGAAGATCTAAATCGTTCAGTAGTCCTTAAGCTAAATTTACTTCTTAATTCCATCATGACTTTAAACAGCGTTAAGTCGAAAGAGATAAGACATGCAAATTCTTGTTTAAGCAGCATTTCATTCTTTGCATTGAAAAGGTCATATTTTCCAATTTTCGTCTTCTCTGATAGTTGTTAAGAAGTCGAACTAATGCTGACAAGTAATGAAAATTGTAAATTGCTTCTAAATGATAAAATATGTAGAGACATTAAGGTTTTTTGGGAGCCAGAGAGAGGAAAAATAGCAAACGTCTTCGCCGAGAATCGAACCGCGAAATTCCGGCTCAGTATGCTGGATACTACACCACGAAGGCACGCTAGGAAGAATGCAATTAATAAAGAAATACCTTATAAATGTTAAAAGTAATTTCTGCTAAGTAATAATTAAAAAATAATATAATGCAATATATATAAAAAGTTTTTATAATAATTAATTACAGTAAATGAATTAAGAATGTTTAGGAGTAATTTATGTAAAGTAATGTAGGAATATTTTTTTTAATTTCTAAAATATTTTTGAAGTTTAAAATCTATAACAAAGTATTTCTCAGCCAAAATGAGAAAAGTATGCCTTATACCTTCTTATTTTTATTTGATTTTGCATAATTAATCAAATAAATTGTAAAACACAAAGTAAATAAAAACTAAAATTAGATAAAAACACTTACAAAAGGAAAAACGGATAGAAACACAAAGAATAGAAGAAAAATTAATAGATTCACATAGCCAGCTTTTAGCAAGTTTAAAGGAAGAAGCTGCCTGAATTTCAAACTAAGGAGACCGTGCAATGTTAATTTTACGTTACTAACGAGATAATATTTTTCGAAGTTAAATTTATATGCTTGCTCACTGTTTTACGCACAAGTTGCTCACTGCAGAAGATGATACAAATTAATTAGAAAAAATAAGAGATTGCAGTTATGACTGACTTACAGACATGAAAATAACAGGTAACTTAGTTGTTACTGAAATTGAAAAGAGGTACTTCTATTTGTCAGATTAATGCCGTCCCAGATTAAATTTATTTCTGCACCCTGACTGCTTACAAGTTGAACATGTTTGACTTTACTGAGAATATCAAGTGGTAAGTGATAAACATTTAATTTTTGTGAAAAGCTATTAGTTAAGACAATTCGAAGTGCTTGTATTCGAGCAAAAAATTATTGTGTGATTTGCAATCATGCTATAAAATATTGTCTGTTTGTCTGCAGAAAATGTTTCCTATTAAACTTCAAACTGTACTTTAGTAGTTAAATAGAAATTGTTTTCGCAATGATGAAATTTTTCCACGGAGTGAAATAAGTTGAAAACCATTGATGTAGAGATTACATTGATGTAGAGATCATTGATGTAGAGATCTTTTTAACAGGATATTAGAAGCAGAATTAAGCAGTTTGGCTTAATCATGCTGTTATTGTAATAAAAGCAACTTTTATCTCTGACTGAAAATGCATTTTGATCATTAAAAAAGTAATATAGCAAAGTTTATCATTTTCGCTTTTACTTTAGCTTCCTTATTTTAAGAGAATATTCATTTTTATCATCTACAGATAAATGTAATAACAGTCAAAGAGACGAATGATTATGCTTAAATGCTATCAGTGTTCATTCTTATTCTGATAACTTTGGATTTGTTGATACAGGCGGTTCCTGCCTTGACTGCATGTAACTTGTAGGTGTATATCTCTGAAAGGTCATATTTCTTTAAATATGTATATACTTATTTACATAACTGTCTTTCTTAAGCATGGAAATTCACACATGTATATATTACATACACAAAAAGGGGAGCTGGATTATTGCTTTAAATAAATCGCAAAACTGATTTTCCCATGATGTCGTTAACATGTATATGTACATTTTTAAGGCATTTTTCTGCAAAATATTTTGTTTATTTTATATGGTTGCCGCTGAAATCTAATAATTTAAGCAACTCTTGCTTTTTTTCGGTTAAACCAAATCAGAAGTTTGTAAAAATGGCAGTTTTTAATACTTAAAAAAAGTACTGGGTTTTGCTGATAATTTTGTGCTATGAACAGCTTCTATCACTCAACGTATTTGAAGATCTTTCATGGCAAATTGAGACGATAAAATATTTTTCTGTCTAAAAAATCAGCTAGTTAAAAGAAAAAAATCACTTCTTAATAATATTTTCCTATTTTTTAATGGCAACGGTTTAACACTGAATTAACTTCCAATCATAACAAATAAAAGTTTATTTCAAAGCTGACATATATTCAATTCGAAGCATCTGGGAGCCCACTTTGGAAAAATGGAGGAAATAGGCGTCTACAGCAGTTTTAAAGGCTAAATTGTATTAGATAATGAGAGGAAAAATAGTAAAAACTTTCTGCTGAAGCGGCTGCTAAATTAAGGAGCTTTTAAATATTTGGTTTGGCATCACAAATCGTTAGAATTTAAACATAGCTAAGACTTAATGTTCACATTAATCTGACCCAGCTTTAATTTCTACTGCATTGATAAAACTGCTGGCTGAAGGGATAAGGCGATTGAATACTAAGAATTCCACTAGGGTTCGAACTCTGGGGAAGAGGATGGCTGCATGGTTGGCTTCTGTAGGTGTGTGCATGCTTAATGTGAAAGAGCAATTTTCCCTTAGAAAGCTCTTTATGAAGACTTTTCTTAGGCTGATAACTAGTGTATGCATTGCGGTATTTAAAATCACCTATATTGACACATAGGAAACTACGAAACATTACACGATCCAAGGGAAAGAATGACCTTTTATACTATAGTTTCAGTAGTGAGAGTACAGACATAGGAGGTATTCGATAGGTTTGACTCATGAATTTCCTATCTTATGAGAAAACGTGACTCATTCAGTGGAAAGGTGTTTCGAATTTTGAATCTTGATCTGTCTCAGATATGTGATATGAGCAAGGGTATAAAAGATGCTTCTAATTGTTTCAAAGAACATGGCGCCAAAAATAAGAAACCAATAGTTACCAAACTGTTAATCTTGCTTACCTCACTAGCCCTAGCACCCAACAATTCTGTTAAATCTCAATATAATCGTATTGTTTTATACGTTCACTAGAACATTAAACTAGCTTCATGAGATATAGAGTTATAAATTAAGCTTTACGTTATTTTTTCTTTCTTATGTAAACTAATGTTAAATCTTCTGAACATGCTGAATACAGGCTAAGCTGTAATTTTATTGTAAGTTCTTATATTAAATGTTATATTTTCAAATTACGATGAATTTAAAACTGCATCGAAAGTATAAGGTGTAACTCTCTAAGTTGAGATGCCGGAAAAAATGTACACATTATCACTGATGTTATTAATAATAAAATATAAATATTAATAATAAGGGGCTTAAAAACAGAGTTTCAGTATTAAAAGCACATAACACTTCCCTTTCAGGCTGTAATATGGGACATAAGATGAAACGAATCAATCCTTAACATCTAAATCAATTCTTAATTAAATGAGGGTTTTTGATCTAATTAAAGATTCTAAATTAATATGGATACTTATTTTTGGAAATCTTAATACGATCGTTCGATAACTTTATTGTATATAATGTGTAAACAAAAAGACATTTGATTGCTCGTGAGGTTTTATTTTAAGTGTGCCAATTAGTGTATTAATTTGGCTTTGCTATGACTTTTAACTTTCAAACCAGAAACTGGTTAAAGTAAAAATAAATTTCCATATAGCATTTGGCAACATAAACTGCCATGCTGTTTCAGTTTTCCTTGCTTTTGCAATTTAGCTTACTGCCTTAAATTTTTGCTAGCCGTGATTTCTTCTCAAGAGCTTAATCAGGGATGATCTAGGTTTGGGTTAAGTAAGTTAATTTTGTACTCTGCGTTTCATTTAATTTGAACGTGTCTTTTGATTACCCGTAAAGCAGCCGAGTTTTGTTTCTTGTTAATGTTTAGTTTCTGTAACCACCAGGACAATATATTAATAAATATTTTATTTTAAACTTTTACGTTAATTGTGGTACTTTTAGTTAGAAGGCAGATGGGACGAAAAGTTGCCTGATAGTCTCTTACGGTTGCTTTGGGTTTGGTAGATTAAAATTAACAGATTAACCATATATGCTCTTTCATTTCGGGTAATTCATTTCAGACAGTATGGCAGCACAAAAGTAGGTAGTACAATAAAAAAAAAGAATTACCATATTTTGCAGTTTGTTGTTCTATAAAAATGCAAACTTTAACTGCTTCTATTGTTATTTTATGTCTGTTCATCTGATGAACAATGACAAATGATACAGGGTGAGCAATTATATTGGTACTGTGTTCGCGATTCATTACCTAAAGCACGAAGATTCATTTTGTCTTCCATTAACCTGGATTCCAGTATCGTGTTTCCTTATCGGACAATAGCCTCTGTCCATTTTCACTTCCTTTTTCAATAACGAATATGAAAAGCTAATTATATACTTATTAACTAGCTTACAATACTTTAGTACCGCTGATGTAAAAAAAAAGAATTAAAATTTTTAATA